ATATTCGACTTATCTAGAAAGATCCTCACCGCAAAGAATCGAGCAAAAAAAAGATACGATTTTTCAATAGAAAGCAACTATTCACTTAACAAAGAAGGAATCACAAAGCATTTTTTATTGCCTCCTGAGCAGATATTCTAATAGGAATACAATTGGAATGCTTTGTGACCGCCGATTCTCACCTCCCTATCACCGCTAATCAATCTTATAGCAGACAAAAAACGTTGATATCTCTCGGCATTACTTTCTGCATTAATTGGTGGCCCTTCATTTCGAGCCATTAGCTGCTGCATTGCTTGGCTGCTCGACGAAGACCCGGAAGTTGGGATGGCTCTTTGGGAAAAACCACTTTGAACTCCTCCGAAAGATTGGTTCGCGTTAGAACTGGAAATTCGAGGAATAGTATTCCTATTCAAGGTCCCATTATTTGGGCCCAAAGTATTCTGACCGAATAAACTCGTACCTGAAAATTTTCAGAATATAATTTGAGTTCAATTGCAAGATGTACCCTTGCTTTTCAGAATTTAAAATATATATGCTATATTCCTTTCCATATATCAGAGGAATGTTGATAATTCTTGAAGACGATTGGAAGCAAAAGTAATTATGTCAAATCTCAAGCTGTTCTACTGCAATTATCCGTAAAAAACATATGTTCAAGATATAACTAACACTTCCATAAATAATCCATGAAAGCTTACCATGACTAGCTCTTGAAAATCCCGTTGAGTTAGTTTGACCAGAAGATTGACTAGAAAAAGAAAAATTCGGAAAGTTACCCGACGAACGAGTGCTGTCCAGATTATTAGATTCATGGTCAACATTATTGACTCTACTTCTCACATTTCTCGTTGTACTTTCGCTGCCGATGGGAAGGCTACTACTATTCGGATACTTCCAAACCGTGGGATAAGATGATGATGATGTATTTTGCTTTTGCTGAGATGGCGGTCCAGCTGGCAAGTGCAAATTGGACGAACTACCGACATCATAATATCTGCTGCTGCTAGTGGGCCCCACCGCCACAGGCCCAATCTCACTTATTTGTGGGCCGTGAGGGTTTTTCCGCTTCTGAGGAAATCGGCCCACAGTCTGATTGTGAAGGCCTTCTTCATCTGCTCGAGGGGCGGTTTGGCCAATAAGATTATTATTTGGGACCAAACCAGAATTTCTATTATGTGATAAGTCAGCATTAAAAACAGGCCATTGGTGTCTGTTTGATGACGTTGAAGCAGAGGAAGGAAATGGTCCGCCTTGGATATTCACTGTAGGATGATGAACGAGAGGATTGCTTCCGGAAGCTCCGACTATTGCTACATTTTTATTTTTTATTTTTTACGAACAATAGAAAGAGAAAAGATGTTATATAAGAAAATAAAAGATTACGGTATGAATAATGATTAAAAGAAATAGGGAGCATAAGATCAATTTCAAACTACGGCAATTTGACACCTACTTATTATATAGAATACGGTTGCAAACAAAATCTCACTCAAAGTTTCAACTTCGATTAAAAATTTAAAACATGTAATGATACAGACGGAGAATAAGGTAATAATACCAGTCGGCCAATAGTGTCACATGAACCGAAGTAAAGCACACATAACAACAATGTGAGAGAAAAAAGGGGAAAACGAAAAGAAAGAAAAAAATAGATGATGAAATAATGAAAACAGATGCAAATGAAGTAACGGGAATATTATATTATACTTGTTGGCATGTAAGATTGGTTTGGGTGATTCCATTCCTGTTCACTGTCGGTTTCACGAATCTGAGGCGCGGTAAGTAAGTTTCTATGCCCCATAGCTGACTGATTTGTCTAGAAATAATTTCTTCAGTAAAGCCAAATCCTGCACATGATCATGTAATATCTCGGTAAAAAGATCTAACTAGTACCAGCAAACTCTATAAACGAAAAAAAAAAAAAGACTGAATATGCCCATAATGAGACATCACCACTACAATTAAAAAAGAAGGTCCAAAGTTAAAGGATTAAAGGTCAAGACAGATGAATGTATTCCAACTCAAAACTGCATGCTCGGCATCGTTTTACTCTCTCTCTCTCTCACCATTAATATCTAAGAGCAGCACAAAATTGGAAATACGTTAGAAAAACGATGAGAGCTCAACCAAGTCTAGTCGAGAGACAGTGATTACAGTCATAAAAAAGTGATCTTTTTTGCGAATAATGTGATCGACAACAATGATGCCAACACTACACGTGAAGCATAGCGGAAAAGCTACTCTCGGTTGGTTGGGATCTCTAAAAGAAAAACTCAAATTCAAGTTATACCATGAAGAAAATTTCGAAGATGATTACAAAAATAATACAATTCAATTACCAAATGATACGATTCAGTGACTACCGAACAAGATTACTCAATCACTAGAACAGCATAACAAGGGCTATTCAATTTCTAAAATAAGCATAGCAAATACAGCAACTTGAGCAAGTTACTTATAGATGGAACCCAAAACACCAAATTACCATATTCAGCAATCCTTCGATGTATCTACTACAAGGGGTACAAAAAAATCAGTACTTAGCAACACATAAACTAGTTACTATATTGCTAACGCGGTCAAAAACAAATCTTACAATCAAAACCCACCAAAATATATATCGAGAAAAATCAGAAAACTTCAATAAACAGATAGAAAAAAAAAACACGAGCAGCATAAAACTCAATCTCACAGAAAAAAAGGATTAAACACAAAGTAACCCAGCAAATAATCAATCAACCAAAAATCCAACAACCCATTTGATGAAACGGGAAAAAATCATGTGAAACAACACGAACCTTATCAGATTGCCGATCCGACAGTTCAGATGAACAATGAATTGGATGAGCCCATCAACGTCTGACTGTCGTACGTAGCTAAACAAACCACAGGATCGCAATAATCACGAAAAAATACGATGAATCGTAGCAGAACGAGAGAGAATGCAGAATATATGAAGGGATGAACTGAAAAGGATGGAATTTTTAGAGGTCGGTTTGTAATGGAGTCCCATGTGTTTATACTTTATAACATCTGCAAAGGAAATTAGAGATGGAAATAAATTAGAATTTGGAAAAACAAAAGGTGAAAAGGTAAAGGTGATTTAAATATGTTGGGAAGATTTTTGGAGATAGTAAAAATGGTAGGCTTTGGGGAGGCAAAAAGTGAGAGAGAGAGAGAGAGAGACAGAGAGAGAGAGAAAGAGACGATTCTTGTGTATTTTCTTTTTTTAACCTTTGTATATATTTATTTTATTATTATTATTTTATTTTGTTTTTAAAATATAATATGTTTATATTTTATGAACCGAATTTCATTCAAGTTGGATGTTTCTGAATCTTCAAATTTAATCAAGATTATATATTTGGTGCACTATGATTTGGATGTTTAATTCTGACAATTTAATTATGTATTTGGTAATTACTTAAATATATTATGTAATAAATTTCTGACAATTATGTAATGATTATATAAGCCATCAATATATAGAATTGTCCTAGTAACTACATGCTTATGAAAAGTAGGGAAAAAAAAAACGAAATAATAAATAAGAGAATTTGTTGATTTAATTTCCAATATCAAAATATGTGTGGTATCTTTTACTTTCCACGAGTTAAATTTCAATTTCAATATTGAAATATAGGCTAGCCCAAAAAAATTATAAGATTGTTTAATATGCAATTTTAATAGTGCTTCCAGAATTTGTCAAATACATTCACACCATGTTGTATTGTCTATTGTGTGATTAAAACAACAATGTAAATAAGGGTCCCTTTCAGTTAGGCTTTATAAAGTTGGTATCAATCCAATGTATATACGAATCCGTCAAATTTAATGTTCTTTGGATTTAGCATGTGAAAGGTTACTTGATCCGATGTATACAAAATCCAATCCTATAAGGATAGACATGGACAAACGGGCCGAGACCAATAGTTTTGGGCTTTGGTGAGTTGGTGGGCCTATTGTTATTGAACCGGAATCAAGAGAAATACGGCTAATGTTCCATAATTCTATGGGCCCAACCCGACATTTTCCTAAGATTGCATGAATGTTTAATTAAAGTGAGGATATGTCGGTCCAGTTCACGGAAGCCGGGTTAAATTTTTTCAGCAATGACTAAAATCTATCCGCACAAAACACGAGTTTGGTTCCGTGCAAGTTTAAAGGTTGTTGTCAACGGGTCTGACCCAATAGGTCAACGGTCCAGACCAAACAGGTCGGCGTACCTACCTAGTCCGTTGGCCAATGCCTATATAAAGGAGGCTCGAATATCATGTCAATAAATTAATGCGTAGAGATTGAAACTTCTGTCTCTTTTTATTCCAAGTTTAGAACACAACTGACGTTGGAATTGAGATGATTATGATGAAATATGTTATATAATAGCATGTGGGAAGAATTTAGAAAAATAAAGTTTCCGAATAAAATATGAAGAATATTTGCGAGGAAAATTAATATCCCATGTATATAATCCCTAGATGTGATTGACTAAATAGAATTAGTGGAAAGAGTCTTAAAACATTTATGATGATCATTGGGTGATGGAGTGTCTAAATATAACACATAGGGTGGACATGTGGTGGTATGGCCGAATATCGAGAAATCTCCGAAGCCGTATTATAATTCGAGTATTACTTAAATTCAATATTCAGAATCATTCAAAACTTAGGATGGTTTGATTTTGAGATTCTTATTTTTCGATTCGATTTGGTATTTGGGACTATCGAAATGTTCAGTTCGATTCAAAGCTTTGAAGATTTTTATATATATATATTTTCAAAGAACTAGATAGTTATATTTATATTTGATATGTTTTTTGTTTTTAATCAAACACTCATTAATATTTAACATATTAAATATTTTATTTTTAAACAAATTCTATAAAATATAAGAAGTAACTCAAAATTTAGCTAGGACTCTATTTGTACATCTAATTATGGAAATTTTAAATTCAAACTAAATATAGTAAAAAAATTCTTCAACTTTTCATATGATTTTAATTATAAGATGAAAAAAAAAAAAGAAATGTATCATCAATTATAATACAAATATTCTTTTAATTATTAACTGCATTTTAAATATTATTAAGTATAAAATATAAGTGAAAAATTGTTATTACCTAATGTTATTATGTATTTTAAAATTCATGATTCAATTCTTCGGTGCGGTACGATATTTAAATTTTAGTATTTAAAATATACACAAACTATACAAGATGAAAATTGACGTAAAACCTTTGGACAAGACACATCCGATGTTATAATTCAGTTATTGGGTTCGGTTCGATTGGATACAACCTGGGATAATTCGGTCTGCCATTGGTACAATATTTATCAAATCTTCAAACCCGTATCAATTATTTTCTCAGACAGTCAACATTTTTTTTTTAATTTTTATTTTTGATTTGTAGTGATTTTAGTTCAATTACCAATACGATTCGAAATTATCCGAGTATCATTTCCAACCATAATCACACCTAATCAGTCTATGGGTGGTGTTTCAAAATGATGACGT